TATGGGTACTCCCTTGTAGGTAACTGACTTTTTTTCTCTTGCTGCTTTTAAGATTCTCTCTTTGTCTTTTGCCCTTGGCATTTTAATTATGATGTGTCTTGGTGTGGTCCTCTTTGGATTCCTTTTGTTTGGGGGTTCTCTGTGCTTCCTGGACTTGCAAGTCTATTTCATTCACCAGGTAGGGGAAGTTTTCTGTCATTATTTCTTCAAATATGTTTTCAATATCTTGCTCTCTCTCTTCTTCTGGCACCCTTATAATTCTGATGTTGGTACACATGAAGCTGTCCCAGAGGCTCCTTACACTATCTTGATATTTTTGGATTCTTTTTTCTTTTTGCTTTTCCAGTTGGGTATTTTTTGCTTTTTCGTATTTCAAATCTTTGACTTGATTCTTGGGATCCTCTTGTCTGCTGTTGGATCTCTGTATATTATTCTTCACTTCAATCACTGTATGTTTAATTTCTAGTTGGTCCTTTTTCATATCCTCGACGGTCTCACTAAATTTATCAGCAGTTTCTAGAAAGTTCTTGAAAAACCTTAGAAGTGTGATTTTCAACTCTATATCCAGTCGTTTGCTTTCCTCCATTTCTGTCATTTGTGATCTGTTTCTTTGTCTCCGCATTTTGGCTGCTTCCATGTGTTGATAGAGTGATTTTGTGTGCTATGTGTCCTATAGGGCCCAGTGGCTCAGCCTCCCCAATTACCTGAGGTGGACACTCTTGGTGCACCCCTTTGTGGGCTGTATGCACAGTCTTGTTGTAGTTAAGCCTTGGTTGTTGTAGGTATCACTGGGAGGAATTGGCCTCCAGGCTTATTGTCTGAGAATCAGCTGTGTCTACAGTGGGAGAACTTCTGTGCTGAAGACACCCTTATGGGGCAAGACTTGCTTCAGTGGAGCTTTGGTGCTCACTGAGTCTGCCCCCTGAGTGTGTCCCTTAAGGATCCAAGGATTGTAATCTGGATGGTCCCATCTGACCACTGGGTACACTGACTCTTAGATCTCTAAGGAGGTGCTAATTTAGCCTCTGCCTGAGGCTACCCTTCAGGAGCTATGGAGAGATCTGCATTCCCCTTCCTTGTTTGGGATTTGGAGGTGCCCAGATGAGGCCCAGCTGTGAAGCAATGCAAGCTGCTGTGGGGACTTGGGCCTTCTTTTGGATGTTCTGGGTCTCTCTGACCCAGCTGCAGTTTGTTAGGTAATTTTCAGAATGCAAAGGGTCAGGCCTTTCATATGCAAAAGCCTCTGCACACAGCTTAGGTGGGACAGGTTCTCAAGGGAACAACAGGGCGGAGCAAATAGCTATGGCTGATCCTCAGCCCTGTCCTAAGAGGCCACCAGGTCTCAGTGTCCCACGCTAATCGCTGCAAGCACCTCTGAGAGAAAGCCGCCCTCGAGTTCTGCCCGCAGCCAGACAGTCCAGTTTCTCCCCATATGAGTCTGGGTCCCCAGAGACTCGCCAGGAACTGGAGTTCAGAGCAGTTTGGAGCTTGAGACTCCTTCCCGATTGAAAAAGACACCAGTGTCCTTCGTTGCCAGCCCTTTCCTCGTGCCCCCGTACCTTAGCACTTTACTTCCGCACCTCCTCTGAGTCTCAGTGTGCTTTTCTCTTTCCTTCTAGTTGTAGAGTTCCCACTCAGCCAGCCCTCCTGTGGTTCTGGATGATGTCTGTTTTGTCTTTTAGTTGTAGTTTTGAAGTGGTTGAGGGAGAAGCAATTTCAGGTGTTTACCTATGCCGCCATCTTGGTTTCTCCAGTTAAAGTTCTGTGAAGGTGTGTCAACTAATTTTTTATTAATGGTTTATGTCATAGTAAACTTGCAGTGAATTCAAAGCAGTCCTATTCCTGTACAAAAATTTAAAATTAAAAAGTTATGAAGACTGCATTGCAAAATTTCCAAAAGCCTCTCAATATTATTTAGATCAAAAAAAGAAGGGAGATAGTGGAATAATCCCCTGTGAGTAAATTATATCAAGAAAAATTTTTACTTTAAAAACTATTTTTCAGCCCTAGCCAATTTGGCTCAGTGGATAGAGCGTCGGCCTGCGGACTCAAGGTTACCAGGTTCAATTCCGGTCAAGGGCATGTACCTTGTTTGTGGGCACATACCCAGTAGGGAGGGTGCAGGTGGCAGCTGATCGATGTTTCTTTCTCATTGATATTTCTAGCTCTCTATCCCTCTCCCTTCCTCTCTGTAAAAAACCAATAAAATATATTTTTTAAAAAAATAAATAAAAATTACTTTTCACTTGTAATGCTGAAGACAAGACACCTATGAAAACACACATGGTGTCAAAATAAGCCAAAGGAAAATGGTTTGGGCACAATGAAAAGAAAGGATCCCAAGTCTAGTTATAAAAAAGTTTCCTTTATTAACCTTTGGTCGAGGATATGTTTGCATATTTCCAGAAAACTCCTCCATGCCCGAGTGGATTCCTGCAACAACATATTACAAAAAGAAACTGACCAGATTGCTCCAGAAATGAAGATGGTGAAGACTCCTTGCCATGCTAGCAGTCAGCAGATGTGCTTCGCTGCAGATTGCCCAGACCGAGCTGGAGAAGGTGGGACATGCATTGCCACCATTTGCCCACCATCCAAAACTAGCATATCATTGCTGGCATGTACACATAAAGAACTGTTGGACAATGACATTAAATTGGGACTCAAAGAACTGTTGGCCCAGGGAGAAACTTACTGCAGACTGATTAATTTGCCCCTCAACATACCAACTATTGCTTGTCTCATTTTTGTTCTCATATGTTTATTTCTAGTCTAGAGATGCGGAATTACTAAGGAAAAGAAACAGGGGAGATGCAGGAGGCCGATCATTGTCTTCACTAGAAGAGAAGTGCAAACAAGGATCCCAGAACGCTGGTGACCCTTGAACCCATGGCAAGGGCCTGAGTTATGCACCAATTATCTAGTCCTGACAAAGGGGGCTCAAGCTATTTCCTGATCAAATAGTCTTATAGTAAATCCTTCTAATATTTACTGACCTTTAAGGTAGCCTGTCTGTTACTGCAATTACCTGACTGACTAAGGGTTTTCTGTTTAACCAAAGTTGAATAAAAACCTGGCGAGGCCTGGGCATCAGTGGAAGTCCTTCCCCTTGAGTTGGACTTGCCCGCCTGGCCCTCCAATATTTCCAAATTATCTCTTGTCTTTTCTCTTTCATTTGTGTGCAGCTCCTCTTCCAGATCCTGAACCCTGAACCACATAGGACGTGGGGGAACACACATACCATAAATGCCTTGACTGAGGATTGAACATGCAAACTTTAGGTGTTCGGGACAAAGTGCCAACCAACTTGGCCACACTGGTGAGGGTAAGCAGGACTTTTTACATCTTGGTTCAAAATGTTTCCACCCAAGTTAAGCTCCTACTCTTCCTCAGAGAATGAAACATGGAAAACAGGAGAATTAAATTTTAGCAGAATGGACCCAAAATTTCTAGGCAGATACTATATGAATCATAACTGAAAAGAAGTTATGCTTTTTAAACGTACACTATTATTGATTTTAGAGAGAGGAAAGGAGAAGGGGAGAGACATAGAAACATCATTGTTGAAAGAGAATCATTGATTGACTGCTTCCTGCACATCACTACTGGGGATCAATCCTGAAACACAGGCATGTGTCCTGACTGAGAATTGAACCATGACCTCCTGTTTCTTGAGTTGATGCTCAATCACTGAAACACTCCAGCTGAATGTCAAGAAGCTTTTAAGGAGACATAGGTATATTGCAAAAGGATGGAGAATGAATCTGCAATTACAAATTGCAGTTACATTTCTAAAGGAGATGCTGTAAAAACAAAAAATCAACATAAGAGGCTTATAGTCAGGAAGAAAGGTTAGAGACTCTGATGCAATAATGAGGCCTCTTGTTCATAACACAACTGCTTTCTGCACAGTGGAGGGAAACACACCTAAATCCTTTCAGCCAAGACCCAGTTTGCATCACCATTAGTTCCCGTGATTTATAAATAAGAGCAAGTCCCCAGCCATTTATAAATAAATGCAAAAAGGTGGAGAGACTGAACAGAGATGGCATCTGATCTCCCAAAAGGCCGAGCTTCTGGAGTTTTCCATGGAGACAATACATTTCTCTCTACAGTCACCTTCCCTTTGATAAAATGTCATCTCCAAGGAAGAAGAGTATTTTCCATCCTCCAACATGGCTGGTTTCTGCTTGGTGACCTAAGTGCAGAGTACTGACATTCACCTCATATTTTGCTCTGATGCAGGCTTTTTTATGAAACCTGACATGGGAGATTTAAAAGCCCCTTGAGCTTAGGCGGCCTCACCCTCACACTTCACCTGCAGTCTCTCTAGCTTTGGGTGATGCCCTCCTCTCAAACAGATTACAAGTCTTCATCAGGTCAAAATTAGCTCCATAAAAGGTGACGTCATTTATAATTCTGTGGGCATCAGTTTGAACTAAGGACATTTGCTAAGCCATGGTTGCATTACCATCATTCCCTATTCTATTCTATCAACAAAGAGGACAGAGTGCTACTGAATTCATGCAAATAAATCTACTGCTATGAACATAAGAATACTCCAGAAAGCATTAGTAATTTGTTGGGAGAAGTAAAACAGGGAGACAGTGTCACTGTTGCATCTCACAGAAGTGTTATCTTGCCAATTCCCATCATCACAAGTGTCCAGGCAGCCTCCACAGGTCTCCCTGGAATGGGAAAAAGTTTATGTTCCTGTGAGCTTATCTCTTACTCCTGCCAGTCATCAGACAATGACTGCCCCTCCTGTGAAGCACATGGTGTCCCCTCCATTGTGGAGATGGTGCAAATGGGAACAACCAGAGCTGGGGTCCAATGTGGAATGTTACCTTATGCCAACAATAATGACAATGCCAGCTCACATTTTTTAGTATTTATTGATTCAAAGCAAGTCTTCTAAGTAATTTCCACCACCACAAGAAATCTGATAGGTGCATTTTTATTTTTTTTTTAGTTTAAGAACACAGAGGAGGAGAGGAGGATCACTAATACTTGACATCTAACTCTACAGGCGCACTTTCAGTGGAGCTGACGGGGTTGGAGACTTTACACTGGTAGTTCCCAGCATCCTCTCTCCTGACAGGGTCTATGGTGAGGGTTGTGTTGTCCTCAGACAGCTTCATCCTCTCCTTGAGCTGCAGACTCGTAGCATTGAATAACCAGTTAATGAAGATCTCATCTGTGTAGCAGGTCATGACCACAGCATCCTCATTCTCTGTGACTGTGGTGTTGCTGGCTAGGAGTGTGGGCACATTCACTGGCCCTGTGAAGAAATAGAGGGTGAGAATGACTGAGTGTGTGCTTGAGACCTGGGGCTATGCTCCTTCCTCAAAGATCTCAGCACTGATTTTGATGGTACTGAGGGTAATTTGGTTCCACAGTAAAAATTAATTTATTCTAAATTTGACTTCACTCCCCAGACCAAATCTACCCCTCTGAGCTGAAGACCCCTAAGAAGGAAGGAAATGAACCAATGATTGATCTAGGGATCCAAAGACATCTAATAAGGCCAGTGGGATTGGAAGAAAAGATGGAGCTATGGCAGCAGATAGACCTCAAGTGTCTCAGATCAATTTCTCATGGACTTCGTGATTCTGCTTAGGGACTGTATCTCCCTATGCCTCACTTTCCCCTCAGTGAAGGAAAATGAATATTTGACTGCCAGGCTGACAATGTACTAATCATATAATATTTACAGTATCTGACATAAATATTGGGAAGGAAAACTGCTCAAAAAGAGGCATTTGTTATTGGTGAACTTCAAGAGAGAATCCCCTGGGCTGATCTCTGGTGGATGAGCAGCTGCCAGGGGCATCTTTTCTCCTGCTCCTCCCTTGGGATGCTGACCTTTCCCTAGAATCTCCCAAGTTCCCCAGAAGAGTCAGCTAATAATCTGTGGAGCTGGTCCAGTTGTGCTTGCCACACACAGTCTCAGGGGATGGACCAGGCTCCATCTATTCCCAGACATTGCTCTTAGAGTTGAGCCCCAAATAGTGACCAGATCAGGAGCCTTGTGACTCTGCCACCTGGAAAACTGTTGCTCTCCCTCAGCCCTTCCCCGGAGGCAAAACCCAACCTCACATAGGCTCCCCAGGGACTCAGGAGTCAGGACATTGTGACAGGGGCCTGGAGAGGGGCTGTCCAAACTGAGATTCTCTGTGAAGAACCCAGGGAGCCCCTCAGGCCAGCACCTTACAGAGCCCTGCAGGGTCTATCTTAGGGACATGATCAAGGAAAGAGGATCAGGGACCTGGACTGATACAGGTGTCTCTAGGCTGACTCAATCTCATCAAACTGGTCCTTCTCTCTGTGGTGAATGTCTGTGGGGCTGGAATCTGGGAAGGGAAATCTGACTTTAGGAAATTTGTCTCCACTGTGTGTCCTGCACTAAATGCCAAAACCAAACTTGGGACACAGTGCAGAGGGGGATGGAGGAGAGTCCAGGGCTGGCAGTCCTGTGTGTGAAGTAGAATTCACCCCACCCGACACCTAGAGGTCAGAGAGCAATAACTCACGGTATACATTGAGCCATCCAAATCCTATTTCTGTTTTTGAATGGTTAAGGACAGCTACTCCGATGTAGATTCCTAGGTCCCACACAGTGACGTTTCTTATGATCAGAGATCCATCAAATTTTACTGTCTCTCGACCAGTGTATTTGGGCCCTTTTATATATTGCCCTGAACACCATGACACATATACAATTAAATTAGTGTAGTTCACCATGAATCCCCTGTACCAAAAAAAGCCTGTAACATTGGGAGGCATATTTTGGGTACGTAGAATCACATCCTGCCCTTCAAGAGCACTGGTCTTGACAATCTCAAATCGTGCAGTGGTGGGCGGAATCCACAAGGTTAAGAGGAAGACTAGAAGAGAAGAGAAAAATTGGTCAGTATTTCATCGGTGTATTGGGATGGAGAGATGAGGCATTTCTCTTCATCTCTCAGCCTTGGTCTGCCTGTGAGTTCGTGTGTGCATCTCTTTGGTCAAGGTCAGCAACATGGCCACCATGGCTTCAGCACCTCGGATCCTATGCTTTTTGTTTTGAATTCTCTGTCCCACCTGTCTGTGTGGCTGTCCTCCTCACTGCCCTCAGATCCCTGTTGACACTCAGGGGCCTTCTTGGAAGACCTTCCCTGACCACATTCTCTAAAGACCCTCTATCTTCACTCTCTGACCTGTCCCTGCTCTGTGCCCTTCAGGGCACTTGTGGGTACATGATGTCACATGTAGATCTCTTCTCGTCTCTTTTCTCCATGTATAATGTGAGAAGCATGTGGGCAGAGGGTGTTGTGATCTTGTGCCCCCAGTGCCTGCAATAGGCTGCAAACACCTGTGGGTGCATGAATGAGTGTTCCCAGGCTTGACCACGTCCCATGTTGTATTTGCCCATATTTATAGTTGGTGGTGGGGACAATATTTAGTGACCCTGGTTAAAATGTTTCTGATATCACCTGCAATAAATTGTTATGACTGTGGTCAGTTGTCAAAATTCAATACCCAGTGATAAATAACAGAAAATGAACAGCAATTGAGATTTTTCTGGCCCTCTCCACATGATGAGATTTTCCTGCTGCTGAGCCCCCTCTCTCATCCTACTCTGCGTCCCTGTCCTTTCACTCAGGTCCAAGGGGAAGCCCTTCCTCCCCTCCCAGAGCGCCATCCTCCCCAGGAGATCTTGGCCAGTCTCCGACTGCCAACCTCCCTTCCATTCCCAGGGATTGTCTCCTCCTTACCAGCCATTAGGAGTCCCAGCCAGGGGACAAGTCCTCTGCTGGAAGAGGCTGCAGGGAACTCCATGATGACTGCTGCCTGCTCTGTCCCACCCTCTGAGACAAGAGTTTGATGTCAAGTAAGGCTCCCAGGCACCTCTGTCCAGACTGGTGGGATGTGCTGTCCCTCCTAACTGTATGCTGAGCCTCATGCTGGGGCAAGATAACCTCCCTGGTCATGTGGGCCAGGGCGGGGTCAGGGCTCAGAACCCTCCTTTTCCCTACCCTCATTTTTGCCAAGGCTGTTTCCCCTTTTAGTATTTTGGTTCCCTGGAAACTGGTGAAGCCTCTGACAACACACACAGATACAAACACAATCTTACACATGCACAGTCTGGTGCCCAGAAGAGCAGTAGCCTGAGGCGTCCAGTTCTTGGTCATTCTCCACAGCTCCCTGTCAGTACATGTTTGACATTTTCCTTCAGCAAAAGAGTTCTAGGAAAACCTCATAAAATTGTCACAGGGATGTCACCCCGGCTGTGCATTGGATTTCCTGTGAAACTTTGTAAGGACTGGGATGCCCAAGTGACATTTTAGAAAGGCTGCTTCAGCAGCAGCCCATCCACATGGATGCTAGGATGAGACCCTATGATGTGAGGGTGGGGGGCCCTGCCCCTCTCCTGTGCACAGGGAGGGTCTCCACATCCTGTTAAAATGTAAATTCTGACTCTGCAGCTGTGCCGTGAACCAGAGACTATGCACCTGAGAAGCTGTCAGGGGAGGTGGAACTTACTGGCCTGTGAGCCCACTGGCTATAGCAAGGCTGTTGGAGGCACATGGCCCCTGAGAGGCTGACCCTCTCACAATAGCATTGGCCCCTGCTGCATCTTGGTCTTGGGTCTGTCAGCACCATGCAGGGAGGCCCACAGGCCCCAAACTGGGGATTATTTCTGTTTGTGACACAGACACCAAGCTGGGCACCAGTTCTTTCCTGTGTTCCCAAATGTGCTGGGAAGATGGGATTTCCTCCCAGCAGGAAAGCCACAGAGGTGACTGGGGGTGAGAAAGCGTCAATCTAGGTGATGAGTGCAGAGGGGACCCTCCTTCTATCTCAGGTTGTCGCCGGCCTGGCTTTTCTTTGCAGAGACAGAGACCACATCACCAAGTGTCTCAGGAGGATCTACAGTTTCCAGGTGTGAAGGTTAAGGTATGGAGCAAGGACTGTGGTGGGAGCTCAGGTGGCTGTGGGCTCCAGAGTCCTTGGGGAATTTTTTCAAGGAGACCCTCCCTCTCTTTGCTGGTTGACCCTCTCCATGTCCTCCCTGACTCTTCGGGCAGCCACTGTCCTCTGCCTTGGGGACTTTTTTGAAGTCACCTCTGTGTTATTCCAGTTATGAGTTGGGGAGCAGCATAGAGATCCCTGAAAAAGCAGCTGCACCTAGACCCTGTCAAGGTCAGAAATGTCCAAACCTGTGCAGGATTCTTATGAGTATTTTCAGCTGAATCGATGTCATATGACTGCAAGCAAGATCTCAAATCCTGAGAGGAACAGCAGTTTTGTAGCTTATTTTTTACATGATAATCAAAGGAGAAGATGAAAAAAGTTGCATTAAATCCATTGGAAAGTGAGGAAAAGCATAGCAGGGAGATCTCTAGAAATAAATAAAAAGCAAAATGGAGAAAAACGTATTATTTTGACATTGGAGGGTCGAGTACAGTTAACAATTCCAGCAGGTACAGAGGTGGTGCAGGGAACCAGGCAACATGAGAGCTTTGTTGTCTTGTATTCTGGCACCGCAGGCTCTGCCTTCAATGGGTCTAGCAAAGAAAATTTGCTAGAGGTATGTGATGTCAAAGGTATGTTATCCATGATGCATAAGAACAGGGAAAGGGCTCAGTTGAGGTAAAGTCTGACATTTGCTAAGGATGCTGTGGGCCTGTGACCTGACTACCTGCCATCACCTGCCCAGTTAGGCATTTGTGATCCAACCACACTGTGCGTCACTGAGCTTGCCAGGCCTGTCATGTGGCCCCCTGGGCTTATCAGGTTTCTTGCACAGCCCTGTTTTCATTCACACTTTCTGGAAAGAGCAGGTGGGATGGTGCAGGCATGACAGAGGGGCCAGAAAAAATCTGTTAGTCAGGGAATGGAAATAGGTCTCCTTCTGCACCTCCTTAGCCAAAGCCCAGTTCAAGTGTGGATTTCCTGTGCTTTGTAGGTGCTTCTCAATATCGACCCCTGGAAGGCAAAATGAGACCTGCAGGCAATGTCAGGTACTGCACTAGGAATGCTGACCAGGCTCCAGAAGGTGGGAGCTCACTGTGAGCCCTGGACAGAGGTGAGCTTTGACCTCTAGACTAAGAGCCAGCCATCCGGGACTTGGTCCTGGTGTGTCTCATGTCTCCTGACTGCATCCCAGGGCAGGCTGGGCCCAGTGAGAGGACTGGCTTTCTCCAGAGTATTATGAATCCAGTGTCTGGGGAGCTGTCCCCTCTGGTGGATGTGCTGTTTCAGGAGGATGTGCTGTTCCAGGTTTTCAAATTCAGGGCCTGGTGAGGGCTCTTTTGGGAGAGGGTACTGGCCTGGATAGTTGATCACCAAACTGCCCTCTATGTATTCCATCACAACATTGGGATGTTGCATCCAGTCCCCCGTGTCCCTGTCTGTCATCTGCTCTAGGCCTCCCCAAGGGGCCCAGGTTCTGGAGCAGCTACACATGGAATGTCAACCAGGGGACTCTGTGGATTCCTCTGTGAGGGGAAGGGTGGCCCCCGTGGGACCCTCAGCACTTCTGAGATGGAAGCACCCCCATATCCTAGGTTCTCCTCTCCCATCTGCTGAGGAAGTTCCCTTGTTCCCCAGGACATGGTGGGCTGGTGAGATGTCTCTATGGGGCCACAGGCAGCTGTATCCAGACCATGGACATTGGGGATGGGGAGTCATCCCCTAATTTCCTTGAGGTAAGCGTAAGCACCCTCCTGCCGTGGTAGAAACTCTACCTGGGATGGAGAACCCAGAATGTCTGCCAGGTTAGGGATCTGTGATAAAAGTCAGAAATGGGCTGCTTTCCAGGCCCTGAAGAGATTAGGGGTGGGGAGGGCTGTGATTTCCTGGCAATGAAATCAGAGTGGTCTGACCCCTCACTGTGAGGAGGTTCCTGTCCCCCTTTCCTCACTGTAAGTGTGGTAAACACCTGGCCCTGGGACATTACAGTGTAAAAAGGGGCTGTGGCCTCCTCCCAGGCTGACACCAAGGCCTTCGTGTGGATAAGGAACATGGTCTGATTGCAAGTGTCACACAGGGTTACTGGCTTCCATTATATGGCTTCCCTCATCCATTTAATGAGAGTTTACTGAGTATCTGTGGTGTTTCAGGTCAGGGCTGGGCCCTGGGAACACCACAGAGAGCAGGAAGTACGTAGGCCCTGCACTCGTGGAGTTTAACTTGTTCTTAAATAAACATTCCATAAATATTTGTTTAGAAAAGTCTTCCACACAAAGAATTTGGTGTCTGTAAAATTATTAAAGGGTTAGAGAAATAGAAGTTAAAGAGTTGCCACTGGAAGTTGGGTTTCAAGGTCACGCTGGCACAGCCCCTCGCACAGGTAAAGAATTAGCTGTGTCTGCCAGAGGCCACCCATCAGTCAACACAGTAGCAAAAATAATAGGCCCATCTCCTTTCCAGCTTCTAAATTAGACACAAGTGCATCTCAGAGGCTGAGTTTAATTCACATCTGAATTCTCAATCACAAGGAGTGGGGGAATGGAATATTTAACCTTTCACTCTACCTGACATCGGAGGGAACATGGAAAGGAGTCGAGCATAAATCCCATGTTCCAATACATGGCATGTCTGAGCCCACCTGCAAGATGATCCCAGGCAAGTGATCCCACCTCAAAAATCTTCAGTTTCCCTATATGATACCATAGAAAGATATTTGGTGTTATTTCCTGGTTCTTGGAACTGAGCAACAAAAAAACACTTGGAATGTTCTGGTTTATAAGAGTTGATAAGAGTGTCTTTTGTGATGATGAAGAAACACTTGCAGGCCTCTGGAGAGATGCAAGGTAAGGGCAGTTCACCATAAAGACAAAACCTTGCTTAGAAGCTGGAATTTCCCTGATGAGATGAGGGTAAGTAAAATGTGTAGGAATTGTTGGCTGCCAATATAAGAAGAGTTTAAACCTATAGATAATTTTTATGATTTTATTTGAGCCAAACTGATGAGAATTGCTTGAAAGCCAAAACTCAATGGACTGAGAAAATGCTTCAGAGAATTGGAGTTTTACTTCTTATTTTATACATTACAATCAAAGCAGAAGTTGTAAGGGGTTACATGAAATCCACTGGTGAAATATTAGAAGGCGGGATAAATCAAAGTGGGGAAATCTCTGAGATTCAATAAAAAGTAAAACAAGTAGACACATACTAAATATTACATGGATGGGTACAGAATATTAACAGTTAACAATTAATATGATGACAATAACAATGAGGGGTTCTACAGTGCAGTAGGAAGTCTGGAAATAAAGAATTACACAAACATTCCAAAAGTATGCTATTGTAGACAGGCTCAATTAAACTAAAGATTGACCTTTGTTAGGGAAGCATTGGCCTAGACATGACTACCCACCGTGGCTCACTTTTGTTTAGAAAATTTTCATTTCAGACCATCCTATGTGCTTACTGTAAGTCTCTGAGTTTGTAAATCCCACCGCAGGCCTCCCCTGAGTTTGTCAGGTTGAGTATGTTGCCCTTTTATGTCAACACTTTCAAATTTTGGTCATAAGTCAATCTAAAGGATGCATTAATGACCAGCATTTTGATTGGATAATATGTTCCCATGGTGTTAGGAAGGGTCATTCCTAGGAAGCCTTAGTGTAAGCGTTTGTCTTGCTGAACAATGAACCACTGGGGATGGGCCAAGACCAGGGGTAGGCAAACTTTTTGACTCGAGGGCCACAATGGGTTCTTAAACTGGACCGGAGGGCCGGAACAAAAGCATGGATGGAGTGTTTGTGTGAACTTATATAAATTCAAAGTAAACATCATTAAATAAAAGGGTATGGTCGTTTATTTCAATAGTTTTATTCATTTCAAACGGGCCTGATCCAG